CAACAATCAGAAGAAAATCATTTGTTAAACAACGTTTAGATAGGCCGAAGAAGTCAACCACAGTGCGTCACTTCCGGTAGATTTGGTTCCAGTGGTGTTTCCGGAAGTAGCGTTGATTGGATTTCCCTAAGGTAAAAAATAGTTGAACTTTACACGCTATTATCGCTGTAATTAGTGGAGCAAATTGCATCGTTTTTATTTTTTGGTATTTTTTATCAATTATTTCGAACTTTTAGATAAGATGTTCTTGTTATGTGCGTTTTAGTACCTCTTTAACGCTCATCTACCGTACTGATAAAAATCGACATACAGTACAGTAAGCAAATTATAAAGATTGTAATTTTTTTTTAATATATAGCAGTTACAATTAAATAGGCCTATGGGATATTTCCTGTTGATAGTATTGAAATACAGTCAAAAGCTGCTTTCTAGGAAATGTTTTGAAATAGATATACATGTATTAATAACGAAAAGTCAATATCATGTCACGCAACTAACTCATTTATTATTTACCTAAAGGAAAACAAATATAAATAGCAATGTATACTGCTCTGCACATAACATACTTCAGATTAACCTAGGACTAATATAAAAACTGTGTAGTAGTCCGCGATTTAACAAGGAAAATAAAGAAAGGTTGGTAAACGTTTGTTTCATTGCCTTTTTAAAAAAAATGACATTTAAAAAAAATCTTGAATGTACATGTAATGAGCGATATACTTAGTGCAGTTTGTCAACTGTTATCAGTATCAACTACTATTTATAGCTATTTTCTTTGAGATATTTTTTTATCCGGTTATGACAAAATGGTTTGATACACAAATAAGACGTAAAAATCAACGAAAGGATAAGACTCACATAAATTTTAGCTGATCGTAGTTCAACATTTTGAAAAAATTCTGACAGCAAAAATAGTTTGATATTGCAGAGGTATCGTTATAAGACTCATGTATCATTTGCATTTCAGATTGAATATGTGTTTGACGTATACATGTATGACAATTGTGCTAGCAACTGTCATAATAAATGTCGAGAACCATAAATGTAAAAACATCAAATTCAGGTTGTTACATTGTGTACAACGCTTAATATTGTTATGTTTTGTGATTGTTTTAAGAGTATGTGCTACAATGATCGAAATAAAAGGGAAACAGGGATTGACAACCAAGGTTCTAAAGAAACAACCAAATAGCATATTCAATTTACATCGGATCGCCCGGCTATAATGACAGAAACATAGAAACATAAAAGAAAATCATATATATATAATATGTATATAACATTTTAAATAACTGCTAGCACTTACAATTCATTAAGGGAGCTATTATTACATTAAAAATGTTTTAGTAACGGTAAACCGTAGACTTTGTTTTGCTTTGAAAGTTGATATAACATTGCTTGTAACATATTACTTGATGATCTACTGTGTCTAATTTTTTTATTTTTGAAGGAGTAACTTATGTACGCTGGGGAAAGAAAGGTTGCCCAATAGGGGCTGAAATAGTATATTCAGGTAAACAAATAACTAGATTAGTTCAGTTTCCTATTATTATTTTAAACAAACGGTACACGTTGTACCTTAGGGAGGTACCAGTTGTACAATAAAGAATACTTACTATTCCGGGTCACTTGAGTTAATACCATTTTTGGGGGGTCAACTAATGTTTCTGTCATTTGTCTTATTGTCATTTATCTTTGGCTATGATGTAGTGTGGGTTTTTTTTCTGTCTAATGATATCTTATCGCACCTCGGATACATCTTCAATTATATGCCATCTAGTTTTGAATATTATAAGTTCTGCACTCGATAATACAAAAATAAGTATACTGTTTTAACGAATGATGTTAGATTATAAAAATGAAACTCAATGAGACAGAAGAACATAACAAAATAACAACACAATGATACCACAAATAGACATCTTACATCATATGCATATGTAATGTGCATTTCTTTGTATTGAAAATCTGATGATATGATTATGTAACTTCTAGCTTCTATCACTATGAAACACTTCAACACATTGCTTTAGGGCAAGTTAGTGGAAATGATCATACAACTAAGGGAGGTGGTGTGAACTATTTATGTCTCCCAAATGACCCAGAGAATGGACAGCACCAATCAATTGACAATGACCAGATATTTGGAGGTGAATATCGGATAAGTTCATCAGGCAAGCCATCAGGATGGTCAGAAAGTATGAGATACAAGGAAGCACCATGTACTGTATGTTACAAAAAACACAGATCAACGGTCCTTTTGATACAGGTACATACATTATTCAATTACATGATCATCTATATGCTTACACAATCTCGACAACGTTTCATTCAGGAAGATAATGCAAATGGATATACTGTTACAAGACTTTTGATAGCCAGTTACAGTCTACGTTTCTGTCCTTTAGCACCAATCTACTAAGGCTATTAAGGTTTACATACTAAGGTTACAAGACTTTTGATAGCCAGCTACAGTCTACGTTTCTGTCCTTAAGCACCCATCTACTAAGGTTCAATATTTCACAGCAACTAATTCATTTATATTGGGGTTTAACGCCACTTTCAGCACACAAAGCTATATCATGGCGTCATTTTATTAGTAGAGGAAATTTGAGTACCCAGAGAAACCACTGAGCTTGGTAGCAAAACGGACAATCTTTTTTTTTACTACCCCTTAACACAAAAATCGAATGCAGTTTGCTGGAGCGGGGTAGTGATAATAATAACTGAACTATTTTTAAAATAAAAATTGCCTGTACTGTTGATGTCGCTATAATAGAGTAATATAAGTGTGTAGGACGACGTGATTCAGTTTCTGTAGTTCAGGTGCTTTCATCTTTCTATAGTAGTTTGAGCATTTTTTACACGTTATGTTATCGTGTATTGTGTTTATCGTTAGTTTTTCTCTTTTTTAATTTCTCTAATATATATTAATTCGTCAGGTTTCTTTTATTTTGAAAAGTTGGTATTGGTAGCAGAAGTTTAATTATTTCTCACAGTTTTGAAGTTTGACATATTGTAATGATTCATTCTTCTGTTGAAGTAGATTATTTTTGTCACATTGACTAATTTACCCTTAAATTCTGTTATGAATATTAGACACTGAGCAGGTGAAGTTGTTTTTGTATCTCTAAAATATTAATACAGAGAAGATTTGTGTCCATTAATGTTAATTAATGTCGAAATGTAAGAAGTAGTTTGTACATTGTAGAAATTTTCAACATATTTAATATTGTAATGAAAAATTGCAATGTTACCATAACATCTTTATAGATGAAACAGTTACTCTGCGAAGAGCAGACTTAAGATCATAGTATTTAAGATATTTCTGGTGGACACAAATTGCTATAAAGTATAAAAAGTCCTGAAAAAGACATTACGTCTCAGATACATTGTACGGATGAGACCACTCGTGTCAATTCATACAAACGTCAATGTATCTGTCGTTATTGAACGTATTTGGTGTGGGGCAGAATTACTTTTACTCAAATTCTTACTTTTAAAATATTTTAGGCAGGAAGACTTGTTATAAAGGATGGAATTCAGAATATGATGGATATCTGATGAGTGATCATTATACTCATAACAATAAGGATTTCGCATGTGTTGATATAAATCCAGAGACGTTGGACAATAAGAATAAAGATGAACATGGCATTTTGTTTTATCCTCTCCGAACGAAATGTGGCAGTTTGAGATGTCCTCCGTATACCAATGAAGCAGATGTTCTGTGTGTCGTTTGTTCAAAATAAAACATATAGAGATGAATTGACAAAACGATTATTTGTTTCTGTTTTTTTAAAAGGACATTAGCTGTCAAATTTATATTCACCGATTTGATTATCATATTCAATTAATAACATACTAACACGTAACGTTTATATAATTTACAAAAAATCTAAATTATTAATATGTATCAACATTTTGTGTGTATTAATGTCTATATATCATATAATTAACCATAGAGATGACATCCGAAGACTACCGACGTTCATATAACCCGATATAAACATGAATATTAATAAACTACTAGTAGCTGTTAGAAGCACAAGTCTTTTTTTTAAATGAGACAACTATGCGTTCCCCAGTTCATTATTGGTTGGTATTTTATTGTTCAAAACTTGACCAGCAAGCATTAAGACAGAAACAGATGATTACCAAAGCGACATAAAAACTCATATGTCGATAAAAATAATCAGAAAAAATACAACAGTATGTAAATTATAACAAAGGAAACAAACGGCTGAGCATAAAGAGCCCAAACGAAAGCCGGGTGATCTCAGTTGTTCTGGAAGGGTAAGCATATCGTACTTCATATGTTTTATCCGTAGTTTTGCTTTTAAGAGTACAAAAACGGTGATTAGTCTAATTTGGTGATGTCAAATAGGAGAAATTGGCGGGAGTATGATTAATTGAAATAACCCTACCTAATTAGATTTGTCACCGGTTTTGTACTTACATTAGCTAAGTAACACGGAGGGTGCCACATTTGGAGCAGGATCTGCTTACCCTTCTGGAGCACCTGAGATCAACCCAGTTTTCGGTGCAATTAGTGTAGATCAGCCTTTAGTTTTCTATTTTGTGTTTTGTGTGCTCGAATTTGTCTTTTGATCTTTTTTTACCGTTTTTAAAACTTTATTGCTTGAACGCACATAGCCGACTATACGCTATGTTTTTTTACATTGTTGAATGCCGTACGGTTGCCTATAATTGCTTGCATTCACTTCATTTGTTTTTTTGGTGGATCTTTTGTCTCATTGGCAATCATAACACATCTCCTTATCTTTTTTTATAAAAAAATAAAAAATAGATAGTTAAAATGTGTCAGTCTGGTAGCCAGCTCAAACATGCCAACAATGAAAGTACCAGTTAGGTTGGTCGAATCCCATTAGGAATACAACATTCATTCATGGGTTGATTCACATGTCTTTTGAGACTTAATAAGTTTCATTACATGTATTTTCATTTAAGTGAGTTTTTTGTATAAATACAACTTGAAATACGAACAAATGTTTTATTATAAATATGACATGATATTTGTACAAATATTTAACACAATGATGAACAAACTATGCATTTTTGATACTTATAAGTAGACTATTCATCATATTCCTTATTGAACATGATAAATTCATATTACAGATAATTGCACATCTTGGTATTTGGTCCTGCATACCCTTTTTAAACAGTTCCATAATTGCAGTTATACATGAAAATACGTTAATCATGATAACATTCCTAAAGATATTCAAACAAAATGTAACAAAAAGAAAATTAGTTCTGGGTAATGCATTTATCAAAAACATATTGATATATAGTATGTCAAAAGTACCTGATTTAACAATTCCACTCACTACGAAATATAACTGAAGACTTAATGAACCAACAAATTGTTTGCTACGATTACATATTTAGATATAAAGTTGGTATTACGATGTTCAAATAGGTCTTATCTCCAATATGACAGCTTATATGTCAAATCCGTCATTGACTCTCTAATTAGAGACCAGGCGTACAAGTTGTTTCCCTTAGAAAGGACATACATTTCATTGACTATGAACTAGCAGGAAAAGCAAATCTAGTGGTGTGTAGTATATGTAATCTTTTTTAGTAGTTGTGTTACATTAGAACCCATCTAAATTTGGCAAAGCGAAGCAACTTGATTAAAAATCTGGAATATCAGAATTAAATCAGTTATTGGCAAATACACTATTTGCTTATTGTTTGCATTTGTGTGAATATTAAATAACTTGTCTCTTAAAAGATACTATACAATTTGAAATGGAATAAAGTATATGCTTCAACATCGAAAAACAACAAGAGATTGTTACAGTTATTATTTGTAGATGTTGGTGAAATGATTTCCCAAACAACGAATTCATCTTTCATTGTTGTCGTCCTTTTTGATTTGTAGACTCAGTCCCAAGTCCTACCGAATAGGACTTCCGTTATACGGAACTTGGCATAAATACTGGAACACCACCTGGTCCCGTTAAGCTGCCTGTGGGAGAAGCTGAAATATATATATATCCAAATGTAAGAAGATATCTACGAGGCTATTAGACTCAAAGACAACTGATGACATCTGGTAAAAAAAGAAAGACAAAAAGACAAATTTCGATACATCCTAACCATTTGATTATTTACTTGAAGGTCATTGAAGAAAGAACTTTATCATTGACTTAAACAAAATTCTAAATGGAAATAGATATACAAAGCTAAAAAATAATAAATAGTTTTTATTTATCTTTTTCAATAAATGCACATGCAATACACATACACATGGACAGTACACAGTTGACACTTGTTATGCGTTGATTAGTGTAACGATATACATTGATTATTATTATAATGCTATGATATACCACCACGACATATAAAGCACATGAGATTATACTGCATTGTGTAAATGATGTGTTAGAAAATGAACAGAGGTAGGTGTGAAGAAAAAAGTCTGCTTGTTCATACACAGTATGGTAGAAGATCTCTACACGATGTTCCATCCTAAAAATATAAAGTTAATTCCCAAATGATTAACAAACAAAGCACCAGTATATAAACTATAAGGTCCTTAACTATAATAAACATATGCACTTTGCTCTCAAACTCTTACATAAGTAACATTTTATTAAAACGTGTCGCGTCATAGATATATGACAAAAAATCTTATTTGGAATGAAAAGTGTTAACGACTATCATCGGAGTTGATTTTAATTTGTAGACAGTGATTATACATGTCAGGTTACTGCTTTCAGATGTTTATATACTGAATACTTAGACATCATATATAACTGTGTAGATATTCAGTACATAACGCAAAGCATATATTCCCAACATCCCAATGCAGTGTATGTCTCAAATTAATCATATTCCCGAAAATAGCATATTCTGCATTGAAATATCATATTTTGAAACTCCACATTTTCAGCGTATCTCGGAGATAATTCATAGAACTTAGTGTCTAACCATGTGATAGGTTACTTTTAGAAATGTTACCCCTTACTTTGTTAATGGTACAATTACCCACAAGTAAAACATGAATTTTATTATAGCGTGGGCTTTCATGAATTATTTGGTACACATCAGCAACACATCCGACCATGAAAACGACATATTTGACTCATTGTTATACTAACACTTTAAGCTCCACGTTCTGACAATTCCGACAGAATTTCAGCCTGCTCTGGATCCATGTTTTCTAACATTGAAGCGTTAATTATTGTTCCATCAGGAAGTCGAATGGATTCTCCAGGCTCAGTAGTGGTAGTTGCCTCTGTTGTGCTCGTTGATATCATTGTTGTAGTTACGGTCGAAGTTTGCGTAACAAGAGCTTGTGTAGTTGTGTTAACTATAATACTACTATTATCAACTACTGTCATATTCTGATTCAGGATGTCAGATGTATTTACGCTTACACTAACTGGTTCAAAGGAAGAATTTGATTGTGGTATGTTTAAACCAGTGTTTCTTGTATCTAGAGTTGAATTTATTTGAACGCTCATGTTGTGTGGTCTATCACTAGGGAATGTACTATCGGTTAAATTATATGTGGTGCTATTTGTTTTTACACTGTAATTTGTATCATTCGAATTATGTTTAGTGATAATACTACCATTTACAGGTTTGGTATTTACACTTACATAATTTGATATACTATCAAACGCTACATCCACAAAATGGGAAATAAGTTTACCTAAATTAGATATCTGCGACGTTGGTGTTGACATCGCCATAAATTGAAGTGTTGGATCTGATACGTGGTTTTGAGGCTGCATTGATGATACTGTTGTCATGATATTTGGAATATGTGTTACAGGATTTAATAAGTCATTAAATCCTATGGGATTAGAAGTTGCGAAAAGAGAGACAGCATGATCCGGTGACGTCACAGGTATTGCATTAATGTCAGATGGTGCTGCCATCCCATTGACAGAAAAATCTCCAGATGATTGTATGACTTGATTGGATAAATGATTAGTCTGATGATATTGACTAAGGCTCCCACTACCGACTAAAGGGCTTGCTTTAGATGGCTTTGAATACCAAACAGCAACACCTCCTCCTAGAGTAGGTCCAAAATGTTGATTCGTAATGACGCCATGATTTCCGACACTGTCAACGATGAGCTGAGCTGGTGTTGGTGCTTCTAGTGTAGGTTGTTTAATGATTGATGGTTGTGTTGTTACGAATTTTGTAACAGGCAAAGGTGATGGAGACATGCTTCTAACGTGCTGTAAATGTTTTGATCCAACGTCAAGTCCCCTACTTTTCAGAATACCTTGCATCTTGGCAGGCGAAATAGCTGAAATATTAAAGTTATAATTCAATTACAAAACGAAATATTTATACTAGTAGTACGACTTGAAGAATTGATCTTGACATTAAAATCAAACAGCTCTCTTTAACCTTCATTCAAAGATTTTAAGAATAATTATCTGACTAGGCTAAATTATACTTTTTCAGACCTTAGACATATTTTTGTAATTTTCCGTTCTCAAGTAAAACTGCCACTAAAATTATTTCGATGTCTGTAAGGTCAATTGGATATTACATGAAATAGTTATTATGGGGGAAAGAAGAATTTACAAAACAAATTCGATCTACGGAATGTTACAATGATCAAAATCCTTCAAACAGTAAACAAGAATCCATTAAAAAGAAACAACCAACGATCTTATCAATGTGAATAACCACCAAAACCAGAAACCAATAGTAGATTATAGATAACAATAGGCAAATGTATTACAAATGGCGGTGTGGCGTCCAGTTCAATAAAATAATATACATTATTGTATAGGGGCCAGATGAAGCCCGTCTCCGGTGTGGGATTTTCTCGCTGCTTTGAAGACACATTGGTGGCCTTGAGCTATTTTCTGCGCTTTGGTCGGTTTGGTGTGTCTTTTACACATTTATTGTTTCCATTCTTAGTTCTAAATATTGTATATTGCTAGGTGTTTTGTTGACTCAACCCTCCATATGTAAACTCTCTAAAGTAGTAATAATTGGTAAAACAAAGATATATATTTAGCTCAACGTTCTTTTTTCAAGCAATAAATAGTTACTCACCAACTTGCTGTCTGAGTTTTAATAATTTGTTTTTTGATTTCATCAGAACTTTTTTAACACTATTCAACATCGTTGTATAATTTAGTGATGCTTTCAGTGTGCCCTTCACAGGATCAATGAAGTTTTGTTTGAACAGATCACGAAGGACGTTAGAAATTAGGCCTTTCAAAGTTGCTTTGTCTACATTCTTGATTCCTAAGCTTTTCTTCAATGTGCTTGTTAATCTTCCATTTGGTCCTAATATGTCCAATGGTGATGGTTTCGTTGTTGTTGATACTGCAATTATGATTATTTCTTTATAGATAGTACAGATAAATGCAATGTATAAATTTTAAACAAAAAAATCCAGACTTGTATTCAGTGTGAAATCCGGTTACTTTCAAAGAATTAAAACACATCAAATGCAGAAAAAAAGATACCGTTTATGTTATTACTACCACTGGGCCATAACCTCTTCTGGTGGACTGTTAGTAACCGAGGGTTTTACCCGCCTAGTTACCAGTATTTCTTTACTGTTTGGAATATACAGATATTGTTTTATTAAAATTTGCTGTTACAAAATTTAGAAAAAAATTTAAATTAAGGAATATATCTCCCTTATGCAAAGCTGCGATTACTTGTCCTGCTATACTTTTTGGTCCCTTTTTGTCCCTTTTGGTTGATAGCTCCTCATATTTTTAATAAGCTTTGCATTTTGAAATATTTTGGCCTCGAGTATCACTGAAGAGACATTTATTGTCGAATTCTGCATTTGTACATAAAAGTATGTAGCGTTAATGTTATTAAAGCAAAGTGAAACATTCAATGTCAATTGTGGAGCATGTATTTTTGTCAAATGTGCTTTCAGCGAATCGTACTGATTTCCTGTCTTCTTCAGTCGTCTTTGCAGTTTGTTCGAATATGTAAATGTAAAACGAACAACAAATTCAAAACCAAATATGACAACTCAATACCAGCATCAAGTCTTCATGAATATATAAGTGTCTCTGCATACATATCTCGTTGCTTTGGCTTTGCTTCGGTGTTGTCCACCAAGTTTCAATATCAAGTCCCGCTTTTCATCCTATATATTGCTATTTTTAATTCTTATTTTTTATTAAACAAACTATATATTTATACGTCAACGAGGAAGCAACCTAACTACTCAAACAAACAATAGAGATCTTGAGATCAACATGCAATCTTCAAAAAAAGTTGTATGTATAGCTCAAAATAACCCTAGTAATTAAGGGAATAGGTATGATGCCCGTTATATGTTTGATTAGGTAATCAAACGAACAAATGCGATGTTCAAGTTAATGTCATGTATTTCAAGCTAAGTTAATTCGGTCAACATGAAAACAGATAACAGAGATTGGCAAAATTAGCATACACAAGCTACTATGTTTTCAAACTGCCATCTTCCGTTTTTGCATTTAAAGTCAAAACGGCTACACTTGAAAAGTGAACTGGCTTTTGTTCGCTGGGCCCACAAACTTGAGTTTGGTATATTCATATTGATAAGGACACGGGAGTCTTTTACGACTTTGACTGCCAATGAGGGTCTCGCACGGTCGGCTTAAGATCGCAATTGAAATAATGAACGTAACAAATGTTAAAACTATGATAATATCACCAAGGAGACAATCAAAAGTCTTTAGTCGAAGAAAAATAGATAATAAAATGGGCAAAATCAAAACGACAAAATGAAACACTACATTCTACAAAAGACTACCATGTGCTACAGAATGGTTTGTATCTCGCAGTCATTACATAATATTGTATATAAATAATAGAACAAATTTAATATCCCCAAAGCCATTCATTATATCTTTATTTTCTATATGCGAAAAATCAATGAAATTGAGTCCACCCTTAACATAGAAAAACCAGTAATTCATATAATATATCCAAATAAAACAATCTATGAAAATATTCCTCGAAAATACGCTAACGCTTAAAATCTTCTTTCATTAAATCTCAGAAAATTCAAATACTAGTATCATGTGTCTAAAAGGTAAAATACTTACCACTGATATCGATAATGTGTGGCTTTGCACTCGTCGATGACACAGGCACAACTGGTGCTGTCGGTAGGACATCACTTATATTCACAGAAGAAACATTAGTATTATATAATGTTGTACTATTAACGATATCATTTGTAGCATTTAATGTTATCGTAGCATTTGTAGCATTAGATGTTAACGTAGCATTTGACAAGACATCTGTCATATTAGTATAATTAATGACATCATTAAGATTTGCTGTTAGATTAGTATAAGTAGCAATGCCAATAAATGAAGTGTTAGACATAAATGTCACGTTGTTATTAGCAGTTGTATTCAAGTCTCTGGTTAGATTATATATTTCACTTCCTGTGTTATTTGTTGATGTTATGTTATCCATCAGAGTGCCGAAGTTATTTCCAATATTAACTGTTGTAGCATTTGGGTGGTAAATTATTGCAACTGAATTATTTAAAGTGTCTATTGGTATACTTCCATGAGTTTCCACAAGTACGTGTTTAGTCGGCAAAGTATTTAATGTTTTCATTGGCATACTTCCGTGAGTATCCAAAACGTGTTTAGTTGGCAAAGTATTCAAAGTGTCCATTGGCATACTCCCATGAGTATCCAATACGTGTTTAGTCGGCAAAGTATTTAAAGTTTCTATTGGCATACTCCCATGAGTATCCAGAACGTGTTTAGTTGGCAAAGTATTTAAAGTTTCCATTGGCAGACTCCCATGAGTATCCACAAGTACTTGTTTAGTCGGGAAGAAAGTCTCAAACGTTGAGAACAATGATGGTTTCGTGGGATTCACTGTCAAATTTAATGTCTGTATAGCTCCAACTTTAATGCTAGTAGGTGTGAAAGTTGTACCGGTACTATTTCTGGTTGTATTATCAATAACCACATCACTTGGAGCTAGTTGATTGTTGGGGAAAGATTTAGTTGCATTGTTAAGGCCTAAAAATCCTTGTGCTCCCACAATTTGATTGTTCTGCTTCATTAATATTTGTTGAATGTTACGTTGTAATAATTGGCGTAAGCCTTGGTTATTGTTAAGTGAATTTTGCAGGTTGTTTGTGATAGGGATTACCATCATGTTACTCAGCATGTTATTTTGTGGTAGATTATGACCAATTAACATATTACGACCTTGATTCTGTGTTGATGCAATGCTTTGCAAAAGTGGATTTCCCTGTAATAAATTGTGTATGTTGAGCATGTTTGGATTCATTTGTGCTGCCAAATTATTGGTCGAATGACCAAATGTATTGATGTGACTTATGTCATGACCTCCACTTAATCCGAAGTCGTGAGGCTGTAAAGCGTTTTGCATTTGTATATTAACAATTCTTTGTGCCGTTGCAAGATTCGTGTCGGTTGGTGTATTTAAAGTGTTAGGGTTATTTTGTTGGTTAATGTTGGTATGCGGAACCATGTTAGCGTTTGATAGTAATCCATTCAGCCCAAAGTGTTGATTACTATTCTGCAAATCCTGATTAGTGTTGGTTCCTAAGTTGTTTTGCTTAAGTAATGTTTGCAGCAGTACTGACAAATTGTCTTGAGGATTAGATTTTGAATTTGAAATTGTAGCTGGTTGTCCTGTAAATTGTTGCTGTTTTGTTGCAAAGTTAGTTGTAGACATAGATGGAACATTGTTTTGTTTGTTTCCTAACATATTATGCATAGTCAGAAGTTGGTTTTGATTTGCTGTCTGTCCACCTGAACCTGGTGTTTGTTGCATGGTTCCTAGCATGTTTTGGATAGAATTAAGTTGGTTTTGATTTGTTGCCTGACCACTTGAACCTGGTGTAAGTTGCATGGTTCCCAGCATGTTTTGAATAGAAAGGAGTTGATTTTGATTGTCAGCCTGTCCACCCAAACCTGGTGCTTGTTGTATGCCTCCTAGCATGTTTTGGATAGAATGAAATTGGTTTTGATTTGATGCCTGTCCACTTAAAACTGGTGTTTGTTGCATGGTTCCTAGCATGTTTTGGATAGAATTAAGTTGGTTTTGATTTGTTGCCTGACCACTTGAACCTGGTGCTTGTTGTTTGTTTCTTATCATGTCTTGGATAGAATTCAGTTGGTTTTGGTTTGCTGTCTGTCCACTTGAACCTGGCGCTTGTTGTATGTTTCCTAGCATGTTTTGGATAGAATGAACTTGGTTTTGATTTGATGTTTGTCCGCCTAAAGTTGGTGTTTGTTGCATTGTTTCCAGCATGTTTTGTAAAGAATTAAGTTGGTTTTGATTTGTTGGTTGTCCACTTAAACCTGGTGTTTGTTGCATTGTTCCTAGCATGTTTTGAATAGAAAGACGTTGATTTTGATTTGATGCCTGTCCACCTGAACCTGGTGTAAGTTGCATGGTTCCTAGCATGTTTTGAATAGGAGTTAATTGATTTTGATTTTCAACCTGTCCACTTGAACCTGGTGCTTGTTGTTTGTTTCCTAGCATGTTTTGGGTAGAATGAAGTTGGTTTGCCAGTCCACCTGAACCTGGTGTTTGTTGCATTGTTCCTATCATGTTTTGGATAGAATTCAGTTGGTTTTGGTTTGCTATCCCTGAACCTGGTGCTTGTTGTTTGTTTCCTATCATGTTTTGAGTAGTATGAATTAGTTTTTTATTTACTGCTAGTCCACCTGAACCTGATGTTTTTTGTAATAAATTCTTCAAAAGTGACTGTAATGTATTTGCTTGATTCTGAGGTTGTTTGCCGCCAATCGGATTTATGTGACTATTATCCATTCCTGTGCTAGTGCTTGGTGACTGTTGTAATGTATTTGCTTGTTTCTGAGGTTGTATGCCGCCAATCGGATTTATGTGACTATTATCCATTCCTGTGCTAGTGCTTGGTGTCTGTTGTAATATATTCATTGTGTTAAGGTTAGATGATAAACTATTTCCCAATGATGATAAGTCATTATTGTTATTTGATGAAGGTGGTATGTCATGAGTGACAGGTTGTGTAATGACTGGTGCAGCGCCAATATTGTTATTGGCTGCAAGTAATTTTGTAATAACTTGTTGAAGAAGTGATTGTAGATTTTCATTTTTAGGGGTACCAGTTTGAGTGCTTTGTATATTTTCAATTTTAGGGCTAGCAGTTTGTATGCTTTGTTGGTTTATGTTCTGAAAGTTGCTATTACTTTGAAACGAGTTTCCATTTGGTTGGTTGAAATTATCATTGTGCGTATGTTGTGATGGAAATTCATTTACTGGATTTGATAATGGTCTTAGTATTTGTTGGTTTTTCCCCATTTGCATTCCTGGAAAAATATCATGTATTGTCAAACCTGACAACTGATTATTTTGTAGCTTTGCAATGTTTTGATCATTTAGAAGATCTGGATTGTTCATTTGCGTATGTGAATTACTCTGTGCAGATGTTTGATGTCCAACGAAATTACTGTTTGGCGCAAACTGATCAATTTGTGTGTTCTGTTGTGAACTTAAACCTGAAGTTTGTTCATTGTTATTAGGTGAGTGTGCTTGGTTTTTGTTTTGTGCTGATGATGCCAAAAATGTCGGTGTATTTTGATGGTTATTGTGAACGTCTGTGTGGTGGTCTTTTAAACCAGGATCATTAAAATGATTACTGTTGTGATCAACACCATTCTGATTGAATGGCTCTGGGTTAACAGGTGTTAAAAAATTATGTGGGTCTTGGCTCTGACCGTCAAAATTATTACCACTTTGCCGGTCAAAAACATTGCGATTTTGAGCACTCAACTGATCTCTTGTACCAAAGTTCTGAAAACGATTGTTATTTTGTAATTTGGTGTTGTCAAACATGGACACAGCGCCCTGAGATAAGTTATTTTCTGACCGCACGTTTTTTCTGTCATTATTATTATTACTACCGCCTTGGTTAGTATTAATTGATATAGATACTTTTCTAGTTTGATCACTTGACTGACCATTTGAACTTCCGGTGTCGCCGATTAGATTTACAGATCTTGGTGAGTTAAACAAATCAACTGGTTCTGTACGGGTATCCAGTAGTCTGTTATTATTTGTGTCTTGTATCCTGTTTCTGTTGGTTTCTGGAATTCTATTTCTATCTGCAAGTGTGTTAACGCGACGATTCTGAGAAGACGTGTCAATGTTAGATCTTTCCATTGTTTTGGTCGTCAATAATCCAGTAGATCTGTCCAAAACGTTTAATCTCCGCATACCAGGTAACCTGTTTGAAGTCTGAGTCCTTCTCATGCTTCTCATAGTATCCAAAAATCTATTTCTTGATTGCTGTTGAGAGTTTTGATCTAGTTGAGTCGTGGGAACGTTTTGGGTCTGAACACCGGACGGTACGGCTCCTGCAGTATTTGGTCCAGTATGGTTTATTGTAACTTCTACTACCTCGTCAACACTCGTCTGTGGACGTCCACTCGTCTGTGAACGTCCACTCGTCTGTGGACGTCGGATTTCATTTTGCCGTCGTCGCTGAGGTATAATTCTATTTTGTTGTTGACTTGTGCGAGTAGAACTTCTTATGCCTGTAGTTTAAAATAGTGTGAATCTACGTATGAGTCATTAAAATATTTTAGAATCTGTAGAGATAAAATAAAGTTCTATATACAAGTTCAAGAATTTCTTAACTGGCAAAAAAAGAGAACTCAAGTTGGACTAAATCGAAATATTTTTATTTGCTTAACGTTCTAAAAGTTTCATCGATGACCTTCTTTAAGTTCATACTGTAATATATGTCATTATTTATCGTAAGAGGAATACAAATTTAATGTAAAAATAAATTTCATTACTCATTACAAATATGTTATACGTATGAAAAAAGACGATCATGGCGGTCGCATCGTGGATAATGCCTATGGGACAGACTTACATTTGTATTGGCCCACTAACAGTTGCTTAAGTATTTAAATAATTGTGTATGAATGCTTGCAATACTTCTACTCATTTGTTGAATTGCTCATATTGATATTGTAATATTCACATTGATACTGTTTTTACATGATTATTTTGCACACTACCAGGTACACTCATGACATTGTAATCTAAATAGAAATAAATTAATACTGTACCTGATGGTCCAGTTCTTGGTCTGAGGATTACCATAGATGGTCTTCTTTGTTGAACTAAAATAAAAATATTTCTTTTCAGAAAGTTATACAAATAAATATAAAATAAACTTTGAAATACATATCTAAACGTGTAAGCAGATACAAATAGGACATTTCAAATGTCATAATGATGAACAGTTTTCTAAATGACTTTTATAAACGTTTTTACATCTTTTATTATTGAAATTATTTATGGGAAAAGGATGGAAAGGATTGAATTCACAAAAAATAAGTTTAACACCGCTCCTTGTTAATATGCGCGACTCGAGTTAAAAATATCTTCAGTGGTTGCCTTTAGTTATATCTTACCTACTTTATCAGATCTTTGTTCAATTTAGTCAGAAAACTCTGCAAGTTATTGTCTTTATTTATATTTTAGTAAGGTTGCATAAAAATGTATACAATTGACTGCAGGTGTCTCATTTTTGAAACAAAATGCATTAATGTGGTTCGGTAACTAAAAAGCTTTGATTAACCTCTTGACCAGTCAGGTCAAGATACAATTTTTAATCTAGACAAATCCCAAAACCGTATGTAGAGCTTTTATTCCCCCGGGTTTATGAAAATCATTCCATCACTATAAAATTTTGACTGGACAAACATGAAGAAACGACGACAAAAAAACTGTTCACGTTCTTAATATCGCACAGGCACATTAACAGATAACAAGCATCACATTAGTTTTGTGAGCTTATACCTTACAGAATATATATTTTGAATAACACAAAGGTACAAATAAAATAAACGATTTAAATAGTCAGAAAGATCCCATTTTTACGATGGTAAAACGGAATTTGAGTATTGGTCTGTGATTGGATTAAGACGTTCCAGATACAAATGGCAAATGTATGTTCCATTTAAGTCTCAATAGTTCATTTTTAAAACAGACATAGAAATAAATAAAATGTAAAAAAAACACTAATTGGGGTGAAACCAGGTGCGTGGATAGAAAGCTGACCAGAACAGTTGACAGTAAGATGACATTGCGCGTGGACAGTAATATGACTATAATATTACCTCTTGTCTGGGCATTAGTCCTTGTAGCATTAGTTGGTAGTAAGTTGGCCCTTCTGGCAGCAGCGACAATCGTTCTTATATTCAATGGCATTCCAGCAGAATCTACACGTCCTCGTCCTACTTTGAACAATATATCAATTAGATGTATGTGAACATTAACTGTTTAAAAATTATTTAAAAATTCTTTATACTTTATAATTGTCATTTCAATATTGACCTTATTTAAGTTTTTAATGCAAATGTTTTAGCTGTCATATATAGAATATACCATAGGCGAATTGTTAAATTCTAAATTCAAAACGAAAATTTAATCTTGGAACTTAACTGACTTTATTAGAAATTAAAAACAAATACACATATAAAAACAAGTCTATTGATAAATGCGTAAATACATAAAGTTATACTGGACAACAAACTAAATGATTACTTTCATTTAATATTTTGTTTCCTTAACAGAGAAAATACGAAAATACAGATTTGCAAATTGCTCTTATGTCTAAAGTTTTTATTGTTCAATTGAAATGTCAATATGGAATCAAAAACATATTTAATAACCCTATCTTTGTCTGTTCAGTATAATTCTGTACAGTTAAATTATGTCATACTTGAATAAAAAAAATCGAATAAAATTAACGGTCCATGCATAAGATGATAGAGGTAAATTTTGTACCAAGCACAATATATATAAAGTTTTGCAAAATAATCCTTTATAGCCCAAACGAAGTTAAATATCTACTTCTATCTATTTCAGTGTTATTACTCTGTTATACTATTTTAATAGGTTCGCATTAGGTTTGAGTTTCTCTAACTATGGGTTATATCTGAGCATACTCAATGTTGATCTTGTTAATTACAATATAACACAATAATACTGATAAACCACCAATAATAAACAAAACATCATATATTAGGCCGTTAGTTTACTCGTTTGAATTGTCTTACATTGTCATTTCGGGGCCTTTTATAGCTGACTGTGCGGTATGGGCTTTGCTCATTGTTGAAGGCCGTACGGTGACCTATAGTTATTAATTTCTGTGTCATTTGGTCTCTTGTGGAGAGTTGTCTCATTGGCAATCATACCACATCTTCTTTTTTATAACTACAGCGGTTACAATTTTTAGTCGACATGAGCAAACCAATTGATTGAATCATTGATTGATTTTTATCGATTGATTGATTGATTTATCGATTGATTGTTTGATTTATCGATTGATTTATCTATTGATTGATTGGTAATTGATTGATTGATTGTGTTAAACATTTAAAGGTAAATATTGTATTCATATTCATTAAGTTAAAAGAAATTATGAATTTCTTTTGGTAAATAAGATAAGTATTCAAATTTTTCCTGCTAAGTTCTACTCTGTAATAAAAGATTATTTTGTATGTATCTAATTGCATCTCTAACCAATACATCGGGGTATAAAAAAAGATGTTTTATTGTATTTATCACTTTTTATCACAATTAATAATTGATAAATATGTCTAAGGGGAAGAACAGAGTAATATTGTCCTCTCCAAGGAAAGATATACAAGGATGGTGAGCTACTTGGACAGGTAATTGTTACCTCCTTTAGTGAAAAATTGCTCAGCGTCTGAAACGAAGTTAGTTAAAATCCTAGTTGTTAGACTATGCAATTTGAAAGCATGATATGATATACTAATATTCTCCAATCAAACTGCAGCTTGCATACACTTGTAAAAAGACGCAGCACTTTGTCGTTGAAAGATAATACGAGTAAATCTCGCAAGAAAACAAATTTTATGATGCAATATTTTTATTGAAAGGGACACATAAAAATGAATTTGCTTGTATTACTGGTCATGAACGCTTGAATGCATTTCATATATCCCAAAGACCATTATCATTCAAATACGTTTTGATCGACAACATATTCTTTTAGTTTGGTATTTCAATAACGGGTTATTATTGTGCACCCCTTCAGGTAGACTCGTTTCTTAATGTGCACCCCTTCTGGTAGACTCGTTTCTTATTCATATGAAGCAGAATTCATGCAAAATTATTAATGTCTTATTTATCATTGGCTTTCGTGAATCGGGGAGAAGAATTGTTTATGAAGAATAGATGGATCAAAAAAGTGAAAATATTCTCCACATGAGTTTGGAAAGGTTTGCACTTGATCATAACTTTCCAATACATCTAAAAAGAAGAATAAGGTCTTATTTACAGGCCTTTATGTAGTCTTTATCAATACAAAATCCCTATGCCAAAAGGTTATCCGAAAGAGGAACCCAAAATCAAATTATGGGGTGGTTTTTGAAAACTTAATAGCTTTATTTAGGTCAATAACACTAAAGAGTATTACACAATAAGCAGATGATAACGTCTGGATACGTATTTATGCGACAGCTTAGTATTTGCTTGTGTCTGCGGTTAAAGCGAAATATGCATTTACGAATTATCAAAACTATACAAAAATTTGCAGAAATGTGCCAAACTACCATATATGCTTAAAAGTTAGGCGTTGTGTGAGCATTTGCATAAAAGTAGTTTTATTTTGTAAGTATTAAGAAACTGAACTTAATATATTGTTATATATAGCTGATGATATAATTTCTGAAATATTGCGTTTTTACCTAGCCTTAGGCTGTCACGACCATCAGGGCCACGAACCAAGTAGGCTGGAAGTCAAACATTACATTCAATACATATTAAAACAATTATAGATTTTAATACTTTCATAGCAATTATTTTTACCTATTGATACAGAAATGGGTAATAAAAATATACAAACTCGTATTTTGGATGCTTTGTTATTTTTACGTTACTCTTAAATGTGTGTTTAATATCTGAGAAAATACATGTATATTTCTATGTTTTTGTCAAAGGTTTAAAACATGGTTAACATTAAATTTGCTGTATGTTGAACGAATCTTTCTGTTTGACTTACCTGGCATAAGTCGTAACCTTGTGCGCCCATTAGATGTTGGAATTAAGAAACCTAAATGAAAAATATATCAGTTTTAAGAATATTAAGAATTACTAAAATGTATCTGGTAGTATGTTAGAACTTTTTTATTCAAGTATAATGTCTACCTACAAAGCAGCAATTAATGAACTACTGCTTATTTTGTTCACGTTAAATGTCTATCTAACAGGAACATAAAAATTTACCGCAGTTCTTTTTTCCTTCTAAATTAGAACCTCCATTCAGTTTTCCCTTTAAAAAACATCAGTATTCGTATATTTAAATCAGACTTCTATAGTACTTATTGTAGCTATGCCCCATTTCTCTGACTTAAAGCATCTAAAATGATACAAGACTATTCAGTTTTCATTTAATATATAAGTCCTCAAAATAATGTTGAAGTTCAAATAACCAATTAAATGTGATATACCTATTAATCTAGGAGTTCCTCGTGCTTTTCCACTTTGCAACATGGTTCTTAACGACTGGACTGCACCCTCTTGTACGGGGGTTAAAATGACGCTACTTCCGTCACGTGCCACACCATTAGTAACTCTGCTGTTCAGTCTATTTGTTCCCTCAATTCGACCATTTGCTTTAAAATGTTATGGTAAAATATATTTATAGATATATTCCAATACATTCTTACTGGTTCACAGTTGGGGGAAAGATATTTATAATTTGTGTCAGACGATTTTGGTTTAAATACGTTGATAGTAGATATATATTTAGTATAAACTAGTGCTATAAACATATATAATTCATTGCCTTCATATTTCATTGAATTATTATATGATCCTCAAGTGCTCATTAATTCTTTTAGTGAAATATTTTCTTCTTCTTTGATAAAAAAAACAACATTTCTCAAGTTAATTATCAAAATTTACATGATGCCAAAATTATTTTCGACATACATGTCAAACGACAAAAGAAAGTACAAGAAATTACTCGAATATTCATGCTTTCAATTGGTTTATGTGTAGCTCTAGGTTAATATATATAGGTTCTTATCGTTGTGCTGGCTTTTATTAGTTATTATGAGATTAATGCAAATATTAATATTACATCTGATGACTGAGGTTGCGGTCAATGAATCTGTCAAAGGCAGTGCAGGTAAGTGGGGACCTTAGCAACAAGATAAAAACAATGATCCAAATGTAGCATTTTTGAATTATATTATGGTTTTGTATATTGTATTATTCATTTATTTCAATTCTTTTTATGTGAACGTACGTATTTTGATTATACCATAATATATTATCATGCTTAATGTGAACCATTGAATCTAACTCGTATTAAATCATTAAGTTAGTTGCATTTGTATACTGTACTCACTCTCGGTTGTATTTGTAGGTAGAGAGATTTCTGAAATTTGTATACATTATTTAAAACAAAATATACTAAAAAAGATAAAGGCAGAAATAAGTGTACTACAAAGTAGTAATTGAAAGTCAGAAATTACAGAGATATATTTAATATATTACAGAATATTTGACAAATAAACCATTGTAATTAGGCAGCTATGGTAATTTCAAATAAATATCTTTCAGGAGAAATTCTAAAGATGACAATGTCGTTTCTTGATTATGATGAGTTTATTGAGAGATTTACAAATACCCAATACAAAAACACATTGAATATTTTCAAAATTACCATGAATTTTAAGTCAATCGTTTGAAACTTACAAGAATACATGGTCTGAAAATACATACACAAATGATGATAACAACGGAAAATAACAATTAAATAACTATTTAAATGAATAATCTTATATTTGATTGGTGGATCTTAGCATTCCTTTTCCTCTACAGAATGATTTTATATACATATAGTCTGTTAACACAAAGATATATCTCGCCTGCAATCTTACAAATATCATCTGATGGCAAATTTTGATTGTTTTCTAAAATATCACCAGAATGTAAATTGAAAATTTGAATATCTAAAAATAACATCTCCAAAAAAGAAACAGCTGACTTCAATATGTGTTCACATTTTATTCAGGAATTTACAGTCTCTCAAGCAGGACGTTACCTCACAATCTGCTTTTAGGAAGAGGCGGAAGATACCAACGGAATATTCAAATTAATAAGTGGAAAATATATACTGACAACGCCATGGGATAGGGAGAAATGCTTACAAAAATTAAAATCGAATTCTAATGCTTTTTTGCTTTCTTAGTTTCATTTGTTCGTCGTTTCGAACGCCAAAGTAAATTCAAAAAGTGGAAGTCCATAAAAGCTGACAAAATCAAACGTTACCAACTAACGGAACGAATGAAAAACAAATGTAATATTCCAGACTTGGTACAGGTATTTTCCGGAGAAAATTGTAGGTTAAACCTGGTTTTATAGTAGTTCTACCTTCCATTTGTATGACAGTTGTTAGCAACCCAAGCATATGTAATGGTATAATGTGGTTATAATAGTAGCCAAAACTGTGTAAACATACAATAATATCAATTTTACCAGTTTAAAACTAACTTAATATTTAAAAAAAAAACAAAATTGCAAAATGTGCAATTCAAAAGAAATTGAAATGTTTTGATTTATATTGAATATATTTCCATTGAATGCATTCTATAAACAAGAGATACCAACTATGTCACACACTAACTAGATGAACGAGTGGTAGAGCTTTCAAGCTTTTATGAACTCAGCTAGGATTTTCCTAATTCAAAAATGTTTGGCATAATCATATTATTGAATTACTAAAGAAAGTACTCTTCCCTTTTGTGACGCTCCGTCTATATTGTGACAACTCCTCTATTGTGGTCACCAGAAATGTAATAACTATGTCTCTATTCAAAACTTTCAAATCTAACAATCACAAACCACATGATTATATATCAAAACATTACACACTATATACATTTCCATGGCATCAAACATGAGGGTTTGAAGCAGGGTATATAGGGTCAACTATATACAAACCATCGATAAAGAATGTTTCAATGTCTGAAATCAAAATACTACATCTATGGCTTCAAAGTGAAAGGATTGTGTAAATTTTCTAGGTTAGTCCGTTCATCTTTTTCAACTGAATATTATATTTTTTCAACAAACTAATCATTTAAAATAGTTTACATTATAAGAAAAAAGGTAAGGATACTTAACTTCTATGAAGATATAGTATTAAAAATAAAAATAACAATTAAAATAAAGGAGTAGGTTCGACAAGCCTCATCATTTTGAAAACAATCAAAATATATTAAACATGTCTATTTTGAAAAATTATGTTTCAGTGTATATTTGGGACCAATAAGGCTCTTTTTACATCTACACCTTTGTTGCGTCGGAATAGATTTTCTCTTTTCACTAAAAACAAAACATTTGAACGCTAGGTATGTATAAATACTTAAAGAGCTATAACTAAATGGGGCCTTTTAAATAATTGCCTCAACCTTCAACTTTATCTGGGGGAGTTGGAACCTTTGTTTCTTAATAATTACATGGGTTACATAATAATTCTATCAAATGAAAAATTTATGAATTGTATCTTTTAAACCATGTCAGTTGCGAAACACTGAATACTATGATAATACTGATGAAAAAGTTTAGCATTAATCTTAAAGGTTGTATAGTCTTTTTTTTAGATTTCAATTTTGCAATTAATAATCTTTCGCGAGCATCAACAAGATAACTGTGTCATTTGAAATATAGTCTCTATCTACCCTCGTACTTCATGCAAATGGAAATATTATATACTTTATAAATACAGATGTACGTTGCTTATGATAAACTGATACATCCAACTTTTTCCTATAGTGTAACACTCTGATTTATGAAAATAATACTCACCGTTACGGCCCCTTTGGATTTCTGTATTGATTCTCCGTGTATTTACAGCTAGAAATAAATAAGTTGTATACATTGAGTAACTAAATATTTATTATGCATAAGTCTGTCTCTTACATTCCATAGACTTAAATGCAAACCTGTCGGTACATATCAGGTATCACAAGACAATTGCTTCCATGAAAATGGTTTTAAGACATCGTTATTTTTTTCATATATAGTCAGTATTTATGGACACTGATGTTTTAGTATATACCTTGAACTTTAGTACATTTAGTATTTCCTAGTTTTTAATCATCTTCTCTAAGGAGGGGACTGTATCGAAACCCTTGGCTACCGAAGATGGTTGTTAATACAAATGTTTTGTGGCCCTTATTGTATTTGGTTTTTGTATTTCAGCTTTTTTATATTAAATACGGTGCGTCACTTTCTTAATCTTTCCAGGTGCTTTAACATTAGGTGGGTTTCAGTTCCTCTATATAACTGGGAAACTTTCTTATGCACATCTGAGCAGTATCGTTTTAGTCTTATGAATTTAATCCGGTAAAGGTAACAACATTTTGAAAGGATGTGAACATTTGTTTTTGTCTGTATTCTGAGCAGTATTTAAACCTTACTTACCGTTTGATGGGATTTCTGTTCCTACTCTTCTTGTGTTTACTATCAATGAAAGAAACATCAGTTAAACAGATATTTATAGTTATAATGGCTTTGAAAAAGTATGAAAGAGATAAAGATTAGTTTTCTAGTTTTTTTTTCAAGTTGTATTCTCCGCCGATTATCATATAGCAACCGAATTAATTATCCTCAATACAGTAAAGAATGATTCGAAATCCAAATGTTTATCAATATAAAAGAATATATAAAACCTATAGAGGACTACACAAGTAACAGCAGAGGGAATAGCAATATTAGTAGTATTGGTGAAAGCTTTGCGTGTGATGTGCATACTAAGCAGATGAAACACAAAAATCATGCACTGTTTATTGTGTGGGAGATAAACAACAATAATTTGTAACTATTGAATTCGTGATGAGTTTGTTAAATCTGGATACAAAAAAACTGTTTAAAATATATATGTCTGTAAGAGTTAGAATTTTTGAATGTAAAATAAAATTATTGAATCTCCAATTAATAGTATGTATATGTTTTTATTAGCCAGGTAAAAATTTTCACATTTTTTCAGTGCTGTTAAGTCGCGTTGTAAATACACAAATTCAATAATTATACATTTAAAAAGTGCGAAACATATAGTTTGATGGAATTCACAATCATAGCAGGAATTTGGAATTACTGAAAGCAAAAAAAACGTGCAAAAAGCGGAATCTGTTTCTTATTGTTTCCATGGCCACTACTCCCTGCGAATAAAATACAAACCATCCATTAATGTAGATTGAAGTTCAGTATTATCATCTGTAAAAGTCTTAGATCTTAGTTTCTTTTCAGTTTATTTACAGTAAATTTTGACTTTATACAAAGAGACAGGCTTTGTGAGTTTTATAAGGACAATACATCAGGGAAAGAAAAGCTCGAATCATCATATTGTTGCTGTACAAATGACAAATTTACATTCACCTCATAATAACAAGCATGCATTTGGTATCTGGGGAATGGTTGTCTCATTTACAATCATACGACATCTCTTTATTCTATATACAGAAAAGAAACAACACGTACCCTTCTTCATCTTAAAGGGAAAGGATTTTGTATTTTTCTTTTGTAACCTAAAGTCCGTGTTTATTGCTTTTATCTCTACATAAAATTTGTTTTGATTGGTTATTTCATTGCGTTGCTTTTGACACATTTTTCCTAAACAGGGGGTGGGGTGGGGGGTGTCACATTGACTGATCACTTAAATATGTTACTGTGTAAATTCTGTGCTTTATACGTATTTGCATAGAGTGTAACTTGTGAAAAACCAACGAAAGTCATAGTATACCAACTATTGCAAAACAATTATCACTACAAATATAGTCTACCACACTGAATGACAAAGCATTCGCCCTATCATTGAACTGGTAATACACATTGTAATTAATCTATTAAAATGTCAATGAATAAGTACAAATAATTACATACTTCTTACAGAGGTTCTGTTTCTTGATAAATCTGAAAAATATTCACATGGACATAAGTTTTATGTCTGTTGTATGATGTATTTGTTGGAATGTACGACATTGGTTTTATTACAGTGAAAAAATGGACGATATTTGGAGCAATATAATGGTGGGACATTAAAATATTAACATCTAACCACAATGTACAACATTAGTTTTATAGTTTTTTATTGCAGTAATAATAATGGGTGTTATCTGGAGCAAAAGAGAACATTTAAATATCCATCGAAAATCTTACAATCCACAAAACTTACGAGTGTATTGACTTTTTGAAAACACTCTAGTTATTCGAGAATAGCGTTGGTTTATAAGGCACAAAAGAATGTACAACCTTGTTCAATTGCATTAAGATTGCATCAACTACGTATCCAGAATATAGAAGAATCTCAGAAAACTAAAAAGAAATAAAAATTACGCTTTGAAATTTTTTTGCAACCGGAGCGCTTTTCGGGATTCACCTTCATCAGGAATTTTAAAGCCAAATGTAATGGTATATTTATAAATATACTTACGGTCCCCATTCGTAATTCCTAAAAGAATAAAAATAGAATTTTTTAATGATATAGATGAATAGATATGTGCTGAAGGAGCTCCAAGTCATTTATTCTAAAGTGCAGCAATGTTATATATTCATATTTACAATGGTCAGCTGATATCTAAACAGTCATATAAACTAAAACAACTGACTCCATTTTTAGAAAACGACATCTGTAACAAACATAAACTTCTGGCTACCGCTTTACAAGCAGAACCAAATACAATGAAAGTCCCAACTATGTATTGGCTTCCGAAGCTACACAAAACACCTTACAAATATAGATTCATTTCGTCTTCAAGCCATTGTTCCACTACTAAATTGTCTATTCTTCTTACCAGTACACTTGGTACAATCAAAAACCTGATAATAAATTGTTCAAATAAGGCCTTCGAAAATAGTGGAATTTATTACTTTTGGAGTGTCAAGAACTCGTTGGAAGTACTTGATAAATTACATGCATATATTGGTGATTTTGAATCTGTTCAAAGTTTTGATTTTTCTACGCTATATACCACATTGCCTCACATTCTCATTAAGAAAAAATTCACACACCTAATTAAATGGGCATTTTAAAAGTCAGAATGTGAATATATATGTTCAAACTCTTTTAGGTTATTTTTTAGTAGCAATAAACAAAAAAAACTATGTCAATTGGACATGCTTTGATACTATATATGCCCTTGAATTTTTACTAGATAACATTTTTGTTCGATTTGGAGATTCCGTATATCGTCAGGTTATCGGAATTCCAATGGGGACTAACTGTGCACCACTTATTGCGGACCTTTTTTGTATTGCTATGAGTTACAATTTATGACAAAAATCAGCAAAGACCCATCGAAACAACATCTGATACACAAATTTAATAATACTTTTAGATATTTGGATGATATTTTGGCTCTCAATAATGACGACTTCAGTGTGTATACTAAAGAAATTTATCCTGTTGAACTTACTTTAAATAAAGCTAATACTAACAATGACCACTGCCCTTTCCTCGATCTTGATATCTATATCATTAATGGATTTGATTTGATTTGATTTTTGGTGTTTTAACGCCACTTTTAAGCACCGCTTTTGGACTATTTCGTGGCGGCCAGTTTTTTATTGGTGGAGGAAGCCGGAGTGCCCGGAGAAAACCACCGACCTTCGATAGGAAAACTGACAATCCTAGTCAATTAAGATTGGAGTCGAGTGCACCCGCACGAGCGGGGTTCGAACTCACAACCTCAGTGTTGACTGGCTAGTGATTACAGTAGTAACTACTTAGACCACTCGGCCACCGAGGCCCCTATCATTAATGGAAAGCTTAATACTAAAATATATGATAAAAGAGATGATTTTTCATTTCCTATCGTTAATTATCCATTTTTAGATGGTGACGTTCCCTTGTCACCATCTTACGGTGTTTATATATCTCAACTTGTACGATTCGCTCGTGTATGTAACAATGTTTTAGATTTTAACGAGAGAAATTTATGTATTACTGAAAAATTATTACACCAGGGTTTTCGATATCACAAACTAGTCAAAACATTTACTAAATTTTATCATCGGTATAAGGACATCATTCGTAAATATAGCTCAACATGCAGACTTCTTATACGTTCAGGTATTTCACATCCAATATTTTATGGAAATATTCTTTATAAAGCACAAAAATGTCAGTATTCACCTCTGAAGCTAACAAAACCTTTAAATAGACTTATTAAGAAGGGATATAGTTACGATACTGTTGTCAGGTCATTAAAGATTGCATATTTTGGCGTTAATATTGATTCACTTATAGGGTCTTTGCATCGGCACTAAACACATTTATTTAAAAACCAGTTGTTGGCATGACACGGTTTATGTTCTTCTCATATATGTTTAAATGGTATGATACTAAACCCCTAACGGGAAGGATTGTGCCTGATATTCATATGATGAAGACATCATCTTTCAATCAGTTTAATTGAAGTCTGGAGCTGGCATGTCAGTTAACTGCTAGTAGTCTGTTGTTATTTATGTATTATTGTCATTTTGTTTATTTTCTTTGGTTACATCTTCTTACATCAGACTCGGACTTCTCTTGAACTGAATTTTAATGTGCGTATTGTTATGCGTTTACTTTTCTACATTCGCTAGAGGTATAGGGGGAGGGTTGAGATCTCATAAACATGTTTAACCCCGCCGCATTTTTGCGCCTGTCCCAAGTCAGGAGCCTCTAGCCTTTGTTAGTCTTGTATTATTTTTAATTTTAGTTTCTTGTGTACAATTTGGAGTTTAGTATGGCGTTCATTATCACTGAACTAGTATATATATTTGTTTAGGGGCCAGCTGAAGGACGCCTCCGGGTGCGGGAATTTCTCGCTGCATTGAAGACCTGTTGGTGACCTTCTGCTGTTGTCTGTTCTATGGTCGGGTTGTTGTCTCTTTGACACATTCCCCATTTCCATTCTCAATTTTATGTATTCTATTGATTTTTTTTTAATTGTGCAATTCTCAGGCAAATCTGACAATAACAAATACTCACATTTCATAAAGAAATAGGTTAAGGTGACTTATTTGTAGAGCTTGGGAATATTTAGAATATTCCCCAAAAGACATCATCAGTGACATGTAACGATATATGCCAAAGAGTAAATTCTTAATAATGTCATAATGTTATGTATTGGCAATACTTAATGATGTTAATTACTATTACATGATGACTACAATGTCTGGAAAAGGTATTTATAAATCATGTATCGAAATCTCTTTTGTCTTTAGATCATCATTATCAAGGTTTTAGCTGTTTTCTTGTTTCAGTGATCTTAACACAACAAATTTTGTTTTTTGTTCTTAAATGATATATACTAACAATATAAATGACAACGCGAGACTGAATAAAATGACAAAAATCGTAACATGATTTAATGGATCACTTTAAGAACGTTAAGCTATTTTTATCACTGAATTTGTTTTGTTAAAAACAACACAATTTGTGGTCATTTTAATGGATCTCAATTTCGGAAACATGAATTGACCATTGTATTCAACATGTGGCCTTTCCTCAGACTCATTTGAGCGCAATAAGTGTCTAAATTTCCTCACTAACTCATGTTTTAAATTACCCTTCAAAATGATAATACTTGTAGAAATGTAAAGCGGTAATTTCCCCAAAATATTTATTTTGTATCTGTCAGCGTTTGGTTTCTTTCTTTATACTTCTTAAAAATTCGTGTCATTAAAGAAAGTTTCATACTGTATATACTACATATGTTCAATCTATTTATAAACTTATAAATATCAAACCAATTTGCTTTTTAATAAGATTTCGGTAAAGACCAATGTACATGTAAAACAGAGCAGAACTATGATTCTTTTCTGTAAGTATCTGTAACAGTTTGTTTTATTTATACAGCACTCGAATAAAATCAATCATTACTCCAATCAATCTGAATCAACCATTGCCCACTTCAAACTAAATCAATCATTTACTCAGTTCAAGCCAATCGATCGTTACAGAGTGAAACCAAATTGATCATTACTCATTTCATACTAAATTATACTATACGTTTTATATGATGTGTGTTTAATTTCAAAAATAGCAGAAAGAAGTATGTTAAAAGGATAATGATAAAACAAGTAAATACAATATGAAATTACTCGTTTGTCTTGTCATTAATTGTTTTTCCTAAATATAATAGGTTTTGGATGATGGTGTTGTGATGGATTTGACTTCTTCGTAAAATCATATATTTTGAAAAATTAAGATTTCGATTGTCCCTTGGAATCTCCTCTCTTTGAAGAAAAAAAAACGGATACAAAATACTTTTAGGGTTGACAAAAAGATAAATAAGGGTATCACAAGAAACTAATTAATTCTAAACAAATCATGTAACCCAAAAAATATTTTATTGGGTAAAAGAGTTAAGTAAATAAAAAAAAATATGTCATGCTGTATCTACTTTACCTTTGTACTCACTATAATACAAACATATGATAAATCTATTAGAGAAACAGTTGTATATAAAATAGAACTTAAGAAAGAGAGGCAAAAGATACCAAAGGGATACTTAAACTCATAAGTTGAAAACAAACTAACAATGCCATGCCAAAATATGAAAAAACGACCAAAGGCCACACATTACACAAAACACAACATAGAAAACTAAAGACTGAGCAACACAGCTCTTGTGTCTGAACGTTTTTACTGGATTACCTTCATCAGTTACGTTCAAACCTAAACATTTGAATGCCATGGATGTTAAAATACGTAGACACGTTAAGAGCTATTTGATCAAGAGGGACCGTAAAAGAATAGCCAAATAAATCTAAGATAAACTTTGTCTGACGGAGTTGGAACGTTATTTTCTAAACAATTTCTTAATTAATCAACGTATGCGTGTGTAAGTTGCTGTGAATGTGAAATAAAAATAAATATGTACGAAATAAATATGTTTATAGTTCACAACAACAAAAAACCAGAACGCAAATGTCAGTTGAGTAACAAAACAACATGGAACATAGCATACGAAATAATTTTAAATCACGTTTTGTGGTTTCACCACTTTTAACTATGGAGATGTGGTTCAAACTATATTGTTGTGGTGAGGTTTGAGTTCTACGACATTTGGATTTTCCATATCTTGAAACATAAAATCTCCTATGGCCTTTTCTTCAGAACCATTAAAACGTAGTAAATAAAGGTGTAATGTCGGTAAATATGCAAATCAAGTAATAAAGTTTGTGTGCGGTATTTATCAAAGGATAACTATCATTTGAAACTATCAGCATTTGCAAATGACAATATATCAATTATGAAGCCTGTGCAATGATGAGTGGTGCTATTTCTGTAAATCTACGAAAAGAGTAACAATTGCCACTGTATTGGAAATAAGTCGTCAATTTGTGTTGTTTTAAGAGCTATCACTTGTTAAGCAAGAAAGGCCGAAGCTGTATTTCCATCTTGTTTAAATTATTAACCTAGATATTGCGTATTTGGATGATCTTTCATCAAGAAACATG